ATAGATAGATAGATAGATAGATAGATAGATAGATAGATAGATAGATAGGTAGATAGATAGATAAATAGATAGATAGATAGATAGGTAGATAGATAGATAGGTAGATAGATAGATAGATAGATAGATAGATAGATAGATAGATAGATAGATAGGTAGATAGATAGATAGATAGATAGATAGATAGATAGATAGATAGATAGATAGATAGATAGATAGATAGCACAACTGATAGGATTTCGAAACAATCCCTATTTCCTGGGAAGCATACAGTGCAAACTGCCGTTTTTCAGCCGGCGTAAAACACTAACATACTGTCATGATCTTTCGCTGTCTATGGCCGGGTAGCCATTCACACCTGGGTTAAAGGGGTGGGGGGTGCTGATTTTAAATTGACGATTTTTGGTCAATTTATGGTATTTGGACTTTTGACGTATTACAATACTCCAATCACTTGTAAATCTAAAAGGTGCTTACTCTTTGTGTTACAATCATCATCTTTCAGATTTTTAGTCCTAGAACTTTCATTTTGCCTATTATGTAACATAATGGGTTTTTTTTTTCAAAACTTCAATTTTTTAAGTTTTTTTGTTCTCTACTTTTTATTTTATTTTCGATTCCAATGGAATTTCCAGGGCTTGTTATTCATACTATAACCTAACTTTAAACAGGTGGAAAATAAAATCGATGTATGCATAAGTGAGTTATATGGATGAAAATGTAATCGAATTCTTCCTATTCAAGATATCCAAGATCCCAACTGTATAATATTTTGTATTGAGTCTATCAATGTACCAAATTTGAACAAATTTGGAGGGTAAATAAAAAATCTTTTTTACTTTATGAAAGCTGTTTATTTTCAATGTGGCGGCCGTTACCATGGCAACTGTAGACTTAAACCAGAAAATTAAAGTTACATCTTAGAAATGTTTTCCTGTTATACCTTCATGCTATAAGGCTTCATCTGAAAGGTCATAGTTACCGAGATAGGTTTATAAACCCCCTCCCCAACCTTAAGTGAGGAAAATTCGTGTAAAGTGCCTTTCCCAAGGACCCAAGGACACAAGGTCGGGCCTGAGGCTAGATTCCCGAACCAGCAACCTCAAGATTACGAGTCCGGTAGCCGTTTTATCAGGTCACGGCAGTATAATCGTTTAATCTGCTTGGTAGCATTTTAGCACCGCTTCATGGGCTGCTTTTGTATCAACACTTCCAAACTACATGTTGATCTTGTTTCTCAGAAAAATCTAAACTGAAACTTCTTTTTGTTTGTTTGTTTATTTGTTTGTTTTGTTTGCTTGTTTGTTTGTTTGGTTGTTGGGTTTGTTTGTTGTTGTTTGCTGTTTTTTTTGTTGGGGTTTTTTTGTTGGG